GAAGGGCGGGCGAACTGGCGGGGTGGGAAGCATTCGAGTCACGAAGTCTGCTACGCGCAGCTAGTTTCGGTCCTGCTGCAGAGCATTCCTTCATGTATGGCCACCTCCAGCGCCAAGAGACGTTGGAAAAGCCAGCTACACGCATCCGATTAGCTAATATTTTGTTTGCACCCCCCTCTCCCCTCCCGTACGACCCGACCCCAGAGGCCGAACACTGGCAGAAACCTCCCGTCTTTTTTTCCCAACCATCTTGCGTTGAGTTGGGCCTTCATTTTTCGTGTTGAATCAGCGGCGCCCCGCGTCTCTCCTCTCCTCTCCTCTCTTTTCCTCTCCTCTCCTGTCCTCTCCTGTCCTCTCCTGTCCTTTTCTGTCCTCTCCTTCTCCCCTCCTCACTCCTCTCTCACCACCCCACTTTGGCACACCCCTCAGACGTTTCGCGGCCCCATAGGGAGTTCCACCGAAGGCCCCAGCGGTTGCGCCAGCGTGCCGCCGCCACCCCACTTTGGCACACCCTTCACATGTCTGGTGGCCACGTAGGATGCTCCACCTACGGCCACAGTGGTTGTGCCTGCATGCCGCCCGCCGCCACCTCACTTCGGTGCACCCCTCACACGTTTCGTGGCTCCATAGGGAGCTCAACCTGAGGCCCCAGCGGTTGCGCCCGCATGCCGCCGCCGCCACCCCACTTTGGCAAACCCCTCACACGTTCGGTGGCCCGCAGGGAGCTCCGCCAAAGGAACCATTTGGTGCGCCCTCATGCCGCCACCACCCCCGCTTTGGCACACTCTCACATGTTTCGTGGTCCCACAGGGAGTTCCACCGACGGCCCCAGTGGTTGCGCCCGCATGCCGCCGCCACCCCACTTTGGCACACCCCTCACACATTTGGTGGCCCCGTAAGTATGTTGGCAAAGGCGCGAAGGCCCTCACGATGACCTCGCCTGAAGGAAGCCCAAGCAAAGTGACTTGGGGCTGAACGGAAAGAGGGGTTAGAAGCCCCGTCGGCGCAAACACAGATGTGACGAGCACCGCCGTACCTCATACCCACAGTTGCGATCGAAGACAATCAACTGCCAACAACACCGTACCTGCAACCCAAGACCGTGGCCAGAGGTCCCCGTCAGCACAAAAATACATGTGAAGAGTTCCATCGTACCTGTTCACCACCATATCGGCAGGAGGCCCCCAACGGCATAGAAAGGACCCGCCGGCGCAAGAATACTTATGACGAGCACCAACTGAGATGAGAAGTCCCCGTCGGCACAGAAAATACATGTGATGAGCACCATCGTACCTTTGAGCCAACATTTAAGGTAGGAATAATACCCGTGACGAGCACCACCGTACTTGTTATACAAAGCAGCGGTAAGAGGTCCCCGTCGGCACAAAAATACTCGTGACGAGCACCACCGTACCTGTGAAGCCAAAATAGCGGCTAGAGGTCCGCGTCAATAATACCTGTGACGACAGTGCCAGTGTTCATCCGTGCTGTCCAGGGAGATCGTCTCGTCGATCCCGTGGTGGTACCATTTCCATTGTGCTGTATTCCTCCACCCCGTCCATCTGAGGTGCTGTCGGATAGTGCCTGCCAGGGTCCGTCCGGCCCCCCAAGCGCCTGGCGTGCTGCCGTCGTTCGTTCCTTTGACTGAAACCCGCGCTGGGGCGACGAGCGTCTCCTGCTGAGCGCGGAATCGCGCGTCGACTCTGTGGCCCACGACCAGGCACTTGAGGTGTGGCGGCGACCGTCGCGGTACACCAGTGGCGCTGTGGACGGCCGCCTGGAGCTTGTCCATGGCCGCGCGAGGCGGCGTGGAGTTCAACCACCCGTACTGAGACGAAGAGAGCGGCCCTGCAGCTATCGCCTCTTGCCGCTGTCGGGGAGGGAGCGGCAGCAACCGTGCGCGTTCCACCTGTCGTTGTGCTTTGGGCACGCGCTTCGCCTCCTTGGCGCTGGCGGCCTTGTGCTTTCCTCCAGTCAGTTTCATCCCCAAGACTGTCAAGCTTGGGAAGATGATGTCCGCGCGGACACCCCGCGCCTGCAGCTGCCGCTGCTTCCGCGGGTCACGGTTCGCCCACCGCTGTTTGCCGTTGTTCCCACCATACCCAAGGCTTGTGACCAGTCGTCCCAGATGGCCGCGGCGCCAAGCATACCGTCGAGAGTGCGAGACGTCCACGTGCGGTCGTCGACGTGCAGGGCCGTGCTGACCCTGGGCCCCCGCGCGGCAACCTCACAGAGCGGACCCGCGAGCACGGCCGTAATGGCCAAGGCGGACCACGGATCCCTGTGGGAGGGAGGTGGTCACGTTTTCTGGCTGCTTGGCAGTGGCCCCATGTAACTGTAACCACCGTCGTTGGTTGGTCCATTGCCTTCCCAACATATTCGCTACATGTTTGGGCATACCCATCTGCTCCAGTGCTTTCGTTGCTCCCGTAGGATGTACCGGTCGAACGCCAAGCTGAAGTCCCAAGACTCACCGAACTCGCTGGCCTCCAGGGCAGCGATGACCCGCGCCGCCGCGTCGTGCACCTTTGCCCCGTGGGCCTCTTGCGGCCACCATTCCTTGCACCAGGCGGCGCAGGAGGGAGAACGCAGGCGAGCTGTGGCCCAGACACTGTACCACGAGCTGAACACCGTGATCGGTCGGAGCTGCGAGACCGTGATGGCCCCTCCCCCCGCCGGCGGGCTCTCCTTAGGGAGGTGGATCTGTCGCGCCTCCGACCACGGACTCGGGAGGGCCTCTGCCATCTCAAAGGCGTCAAACACCACGGCGACGGCCGGGGCCACAATGCCACCAAGGTAAGCCACCTCTATCCCAGACCATCCGTCGGTACCTGCTGCCGTGCCCCGCTGTCGGTCCATTGCGCCACGCACATCAAACACGTCGTTGATGTCCCAATCCCGTTGCGGGAGCGGCTTCGTCCACACCCGCACTTTGTCTGTCCACCTGTCTGGGACATTCCGGTCCCAGATTTTGCGTCACCGTTTCGAAAGCAGCTGCAGCGCCTCCTCTGTGCTCGTGGTGGTGGTGGTGGTCGCAGCAGGGGCGGCGCTACTGTCGTCGTACAGTGGCACGCCCCGCACGGGCGCCTCTCCGCGCAACCAATTGTGTACCCGTCGGCGGCTGTTCCGGAGCCCAGTCTCCCAACGTCGTAACCGTGCTGCCCGTGCCTGGTCCCGCTCCACCCGTAGTCGGTTTTCCGCGTTGTGGTGGTCCCGCAGGGAGCTCCACCTACGGCTCCAGCGGTTGCGTCCCCACAGGGAGCTCCATCTGAGGCCCCACTGGCTGCGCCCGCATGCCCTCCCCACCACACTTGGGCACACCCATCATAAGTTTCGTGGCCCCATAGGGGGCTCCTCCTACTTCTCCAGTGACCGCGTTCGCATGCCTTCTCCAGACCACTTCGGCACACCCCTCATGCGTTTCGCGGCCCCATAGGGAGGTCCACCGCAGGCCCCCGTGGCAGGAGTCGCATGCGTGACCGCGCCCATGTCGGCACGCCCCTCACACGTGCCCCCCATAGGGAGCTCCACCTGAGGCCCCATGGACAGGAATCGCATGCGTGACCGTACCCATTTCGGCGCACCCCTCATGCGTTTCGTGGCACCATGCCGACGGCCCCAATGGCAGGAATCGCATGCGTGACCGCGCCTATTTTGTAAAACACCTCGCACGTTTCAGGGCCCCCTGGAGAGCTCCACTGGTTCCCCATCGGCAGGAATCGCGTGCTTGACCGCGCCCATTGTGGCACACCCCGCGCACGTTTCGTGGCCCTATAGGACCTCCACCAAATGCCCCGCCGCCTGGTGCTTCCCAAACCGCGCCCTGCTGCTTGCTCCCGATGGCCTGGCCGACAGACGCTCAGATCAGCCGTGACGGGTCACATCCAGATGTAACCCGTCGCGGCTGACCCTTGCGACACCATCAGCAACGTCGCTCCGTCCTTCCACGCACGCCTCAGTCCTTTTGCTAGCCCCCTCCCCTAGTTTCCACCTGTCCTGCGTCACTCGCAGCAGCAAATGGGTGGGTCCTTCACCAGGCTAAATTTCACAGCGAGAGGCGAGGGGACGACGTAGAGTATCTGCGTGCTGTGTCCGAAATAGTTCTCACAACGAGAGGCGGCCTCGGCCGGGGGAGGCTTCATCGAGTGCAAGGAGGCGTACGACTCGTACGGCCGCGACACGTGGGTGGACCACAAGGCGATCCCCAGCGCCGCCAAGGCCCTGCGCGACCCGCCGCCTTGCGCGACGGTGTGCAGACGACATGGCGGGGTGGGCGGCGAGCGACGCTAGGGGGTGCTCTGCCACCCCTGGCTGATGAGCCAATTTTCCATTACCGCTACCATAGGCAGGACGGGGGAGAAGGGAGGATGGTAGGTCCTCCTCCTCCTCCTCCTCCTCCTGCCTGTGGCCGTGGTGGTGGTAGTGGAACCTCGGCCCATCACCTGGCGGCGCCCCGGGCGCCGCTCCCGGCGCGCTCCGCGCGCCGTGGACGGGGCCGTCGTGGGGTGGGTCGGCACCGACTCAGGACTCGGCGGCGAGCCCGGGGGGGAAGTTTCGGGTTCGAGGTTCGAGGTTTTCGGGCGTCGTCGTCGCCGTTGTTTCTCGGCGGTTTCTCGAGCCTCGGGGTGCGCTCGAGTAGCTGCGCCCCACCGAGGGCGTTTCGGGGGTGCCCAGATTGTCCCGAACGGCCACGGGGGAGCCGAGTTATGACCGAAAAAAAAACACCAGAGAAGGGGCGGGCCTCTTCAGAAGGCTCGGAAGTCTCCGGGCCTTCCGAAAAGTTTCCTAAGCCTTCCCCGAAGACGCAGGAAAGCCTCTCGGAGGGCGCGAGGGCTTCCGAGAAGCCCCGCCGCTTTCCGAGAAGGCCTTCTCCTTCTCGCTTCCCCCCCTCGCTCGCCGCCGAAAGGCACCCTCGCGGACCTCCGACAGTTTCTGTTCGGGCTGCTCTCTGCTCTCGGATCTGCGCGGGGCGGGGCGAGCGAAGGGACAGGCCAGCCGCAGCTTGGGGGGAGCTGTGGTCCCTGGCCCCCTGGGATGCCATCGGCTTCGGCCCCCCCCCCGAGAGATCGTCGGTACGATGGGCTCCTCCATGACTCGAGAAGGGGATCGACAACAGAAGTGATTTACCCCAGAATTGATTCCTCTCGCTTCGCGGGGTGCACGTCCGGAGCACGTACAGTCCAGCCGTTGTGGGGCTTTTTGGAAGCCTCCTGGGGGGTTCTTGGAAGCTTCTTGGAGGCTTCCTGTGGCGTTTTGGGGGTCTCCTGGGGGCCTCTTGGCGGCCTCTTGGGGGCGTCTTGGGCCGTCTTGGGCCGTCTTGGGGCGCTTTGCGCCGTTTGGCCCCTTCGGGGGCCTTCTTGGGAGCCTCTCGCGGCCGCCTTCGGGCCCTCTTGGAATCCTCATGGGCCGTCTTGGGGGCCTCTTGGACCGTCTTGGGGGCCTCTTTGGGCTGACTTGGGGCTCCCTGGGGTTGTCTTGGGGCCAGGCGCCGCGACCAGGCGCCCCGCCGCGGTGCGCCCAGCCAGCCGCCTGCGTAGCCGCGCGGAGCCTTATCGCTAGAGCCCCGCTGCGTGCGAATCATTCCCGCTGCCCGAGCCCTGTCGCGTTGCGCAAAGTCGCCACCAGCAGCGGAGCGCTGAGCCTGCCCGACGGCACACAGGGCAAACATGTTTGTCCCATTCAGGCGCAGAGACTGCGAGGTCGCTGATGCCGCGTGGATCTCCTGAAAAACAGATGTTGGCTTGAATGGCATGCCGTCTCCTGTAGTCCTCTGCGGTGGCGTTTCCTGTCGTCTTCTGCGGTGGTCTGCCGCGCCGTCCTGCAATCGTCGAGGCATCCATATGGAAACGTCCTGGAGTGGTGAGTTGGGAGCTCCTTGGGTCCCTTTCAGGGACTTCTGCCGGCTTTTGGAAGGCTTCTCGGGCGCATTTGAGAACCCCTGAAAGCCTCTTGGGTTTTTTTTGTTGGGGCGTCTTGGGCCGTTTTGGGGCGCTATTTCGGAATCTTTTGGGGGGGTCATGGAGGCTTCTTCGGGGCTTCCCGGGTCTTTCGGGGGGCCTCTTGGGGGCGTCTTGGGCCGTCTGCGGACGCTTGGAGCCGTTTGGCCCCTTCGGGGGACTTCTTGGGGGCCGCTCGCGGCCGCCTTGGGGCCCTCTTGGGGTCGTCTTGGGCCATCTTGGGGTGCTCTTGGGCCGTCTTGGAGGCCTCTTGGATCGTCTTGGGGGCCTCTTTGGGCCGTCTTGGGGCCCCCTTGGGTGCTGCTTGGGCTGTCTTGGGGCCATTTTGGAGGCTGCTAGGGCCGTCATGGGCCTCTGAGAGCCGGGAAAGGCGAGAACGCGAAATTCTTTGAAAAAACTTAAGGAAAATCGATGTTTTTGGCCTCTGGCGGCGTTCTGGTGGGCGCTCTGAGGGCCCTCTTGGGCAATCTTTGGGGCTTTGTGGGCCCTATTGGGGCCATCTTGGGCCGTCTTGGGGCCGTCTTGTCCCGTCTTGACACCATCTTGAACCGTCTTCACGCCCTCTTGGATCCCCAAAAGGCTCAAGGTGCCCAAATCATCGGTTTTCCATAGGTTTTTTTAGATTTTGAGGCCCAGAAGGGGCCCTCCTCCTGAGGGTCGATGGAAGTGGCGCGACTCCAGGGGGGGAATGGGGGGACACATAATAATGTAACATGATACAATATGTAGGAATTATGCAAGCATTGGACACATTGGATCCATTGCATTACAGCATCCGCGGACCTGCCTCCGGCAACACGTCACTTCCGGACGTGGATTCCTCTCGCTTCGCGGGGTGCACGTCCGGAGCACGTACAGTCACGTCGCGGGGCCTTCTGGGAGCCTCTTGGGGGCCTCCTGGAGGCCTCTTGGGAGCTTCTTTGGGCCTCTTGGGGACTTCTTCTGGCCTCTTCCCCCCCTTTTTTGACTCCCTCCCCATCTTCCCTTCCAGCGCTGGCTCTAATCATGGGCGCCGCCGTGACCAACTTCCACCTGGCTGGCGCTGCGCCGCAGTTCGTCCAGGGGGGGAAATAATATTACACTCCAGTCGCTATGTGGCCTTTGGGGGGCTTCTTTGGGGCCTTTTGGAGGCTTCTTGGGGACTTTTCGGAGGTCTCTGGGGGGCTTTTTGGGGCCATTTGGGGGCCTCTTGGTGGCCTCTTGGGGCCTCTTGGGGGCGTCTTGGGCCGTCTTGGGGCGCTTTCGCGCCGTTTGGCCCCTTCGGAGGACTTCTTGGGGGCCTCTCGCGGCCGCCTTGGGGCCCTCTTGGGGTCCTCTTGGGCCGTCTCAGGGGTTTCTTGGGCCGTCTTGGGGGCCTCTTTGGGCCGTCTTGTGGCCCTCTGGGGCCGTCTTGGGGCCCCCTTGGGTGTTTCTTGGGCCTTCTTGGGGCCATCTTGGAGGCTGCTCGGGCCGTCATGGGCTTCGGAGCGGCGAAAAAGGCGAGAAAGCTAAAATCTTTCAAAGACGTAGAGAAAATCTATGTTTTTGGCCTCTGGAGGCGCTCTTGTGGGCGCTCTTGGAGCCCTCTTGGGCCGTCTTGGGTTCTTTTTGGGCCCTCTTGGGGCCATCTCGGGCCGTCTTAGGGCCGTCTTGGGCCGTCTTGGGGCCATCTGGAGCCGTCTTGGGGCCCTCTTGGATCCCCAAAAGGCTCAAGGTGCCCAAATCATCGGTTTTCCATAGGTTTTTTTAGATTTTGAGGCCCAGACGGGGCCCTCCTCCTGAGGGTCGATGGAAGTGGCGCGACTCCAGGGGGGGGTTAGGGGGGGAAACATAATAATGTAATACAATACAATATGTAGGAATTATGCAAGCATTGGACACATTGGATCCATTGCATTACAGCATCCGCGGACCTGCCTCCGGCAACACGTCACTTCCGGACGTGGATTCTATAGGCTTACGCCACATCCGCCGACCCCTCTATAAACTACTGCGCGTCCAGGCCTGCATTCCACGAGGCTTGTCCGATTCCTGGGAGGTTCTTGGGGGCAGGTGGGGGCTCTGTTCGGGCTCCCTGGGGGCTTCTTGGGGCGTGTTGGGGGCTTCAGGCAACCTGGGGGCGTCCTGGGGCCGAAGGCTGGAAATGTGGGTTCGGGTTCCCCCCGTGGGCCCCCTTTCGGCGCCGTCCGGGGGCCCTCTGGGGCCGTCATCGGGGCTTCTTTGGCGGTCTTGGGGCCCTTGTGGGCCGTCTTCGAGCTGCCCTGGGGGTCTTTTGGGCCGTCTTGCATGGTCTGAAAACGCAAGAGGCGAATTTGTTAAAAACATACGTTTTCCCAAGGGAATGAGGCAATTTGCATTTCTTCGGTGCCTTTTGGGAGGCCTCTTGGAGGGCTCTTGGGGCGTTTTGTACGCATCTTGGGCCGTCTGGGTGCTATCTTGGGCGTGTTGGAATGATCATTCGACGATTCGGGGCCCTCTTGGATCGTCTTGGGGCCCACGTAGGGTCCTCTTGGCCCGTTTTGGGACCCTCTATGCTCCCATGGCGCGTTCGTCCGGGGCCAGGGGGGGGGGTCAAATCTCCGGTTTGGGGTGCCTGGAGGGGGTTATGGGGGGGAACAGTCTCACACGCCTAGAGACCCACAAGGGGTCGGCGGATTTGTTCGTTGTGTCGACGCACGATACGTAGAATGTCCCGCACATCTGCGAGAAATCAATGTCTTTTTTGTAGACTCGGCAAAAAAATGATTTTTGGAGTAAATCAACTTTGTAGTCGATCCCCTACTCGAATGACGGCGGTGTGATGGACCCAGCTCCCCCGGACTTAGCTGGTCGCAGATGGTGAGCCGCCAGGCGTCAGCGCGCGCGCGCACACAGGGGAGGTGGCAGGGGGGGCGGTGTCGGTGGCCCGGCCCTCCGCCAGCTTGAGAAAGACCCGGAGGAGACGTTGCTTGACATGTCTCAGGCTTGCTCTGTTTCACAGTCGTGATGCGCTTCTGGTTCCCATGCTTCACGGTCGTGATGCCGTCTGTTTCCCTGCCACGCGCTACCGCAGCCTGGCGGTGTGTATCTACGGGTCGGCAATCCACCAAGCATGGGTTCAATAGCGACCCCGGCTTCTGATGCACGGCTCCTGACCGACGGATTTCTCAGGCTCCGCGGGGCCGTTTCGGGGCTTGGGCTCGGGCGACGCCACCTGTGCACACTCCTCGCGCCAGGCCGGGCCCATACTCGGCCCACCGATCTGTGCATGTGCCTCCCTGGCCAGGCCAGGGGGCACAGACG